TTGCGCGATTATTCGCGAGTCGCCCGGAGCCGGAAGGCTTCATCCTTTTCCATACGGTAAAATTAACTCGATGCCTGGGCGCGATTCGAGCGTGATAAGGGACGATAAACCCGTGGTTCATCGATGTTCATCGGCGATCGTATCCGTCCGTAACGTGCATTTTCGCGTATATATGTATGCGTACATATCTACACGCACTGATAAATAAATCGACAAGCGCGTTTCCAGCGATTCCAGCCGATATATCCAGCGGTACACCTCGATTCACTCGTCACATGCAGCATGACGTGCATCGCAGGGCGCGATAATGATATCCGGATAGATACGCTTCCAGCGTGCTTTCGAATTTTCTTTTTCCTCCTCGTCTTCGTCTCCCATCAGTTTTATTCATAGTAATATGAAAGAAACTTTGAAGGAATTTTTACGGGAGATATCTCTGCAAATAATTAAAAAAATTCATTTTATTTAAAGATGAATTTTCCTAAATTTATTGCGAAATATCTATTTTACGTTTATTAGATATTATTAAATTATTAGCACATTTAAGCAAATATCAGCTTATGGTATATATAGTTATAGCATTTTTATGATTTTAGACTCAATCGTATTTCTTTGATGAATATTAAAAGGCTCTTTCTCAATTTTGGCACAAAGCTGCTCGCTCTCTTTCATAAAAAAAAAAGTCATGCCCTTAAATATTAAAAGCGTGACCGGAGAGTCTCCTCCATTATTGCATTCATCTGCACTTCACCGGATGGATGTGGCAGTTGATGTTATCTCTTCTGTTCCGGAGCGTTATTATTTTGCACGGTACGTTGCTCCATTTAGTTCTTCTTTCTGCATCGGAAAGTAGATTCGAGCGAAAACGCGAGCACGACGAATGCAACGTCACGCGTGTAGCTGTGCGAATCGAAAACAAAAGTACGATGACGTTGCACATCTCGCTGCGAAGTATTCGCTGAGCAAGTACGCAACGTTACTTTCGGGTCAGGAGGGCAAGAACAATCGACAAAGTGAATACATCGATACGATTACTGAAACGTTACATTAATCTTTTTAAATGTATACAAAAGTAGTTTTTCTACATTCATTTTTATTGTCTACACGGTTTTGCCGCCCAGACAGGATTTTATCGCCAACGAAGCTTAAATACGAATTCAGATTTCCGCAATTCACGAACATCGAATAAGGATCACTTTGCAAGAGATTTCTTTACGAGACTAAATTTGCATGGCGTCGAGAAGATTTGTATATTAGTCATATTAGTGCATCCATTTTTATTATTTGCCAAAAGAGTCGCTCCTAAGTTATCCAAAATCAGACACTAATTTGAGCCGCTTTAAAATACGACTGTTTTATATTCATGATGCGCGATAGCTCTCGCGATTTTTGTCTCGTGAATTTTATGCGTCAGCGATCGAAGTCTGTTGAAGCGTTTAATGCCGCTATGGGTTCCTGGTTACAAGCAGATACTATCTTTAGAATAGCGCCACGGTCATCGGAACATGCAAATGTAGCGCGCTCGTAAGCCTCGCGCAAAATTAATTGCGCGTGATGCAGATATGCCGCTCTGAGAGTTCATCTCGTGATGGCTTCGGAGGCTGCACAGTTGTATAACGCGTGCGCTCTTTTGAGATAAAAACCTATTCGCGCAGAAGAGTCCGAATCTGTGTGAAGGAATTCATAGCAAAAGAAGCCGCTTAAATAAAATTTTATATCATAATTTATTTTATATCATAAATTATTTTTTTTAAATAATCGCCTTAGCCTGTTTTTAGATACAATATAATAATAGTGTATCTTATTTTGATGCCCGGATGACATTTAGAGATATGATTATCCTTTGACAAGAAAGAAACGGAAAGAAATTTAATATTGCTTTTTTTATTGCGCGTTTTCTACATGCAAAATATAGATTTTAAATTAGATTAAATATAGATATTTAATATGATATTAATTGATGCCTAGGTTGAATATCATAATTGCGTAAAATTTGTTTCAATATTTGCAATATATGTCCAGATCAGAAAAGATAACGCGCAGGAAGTGAAACCGCAGGAAATAATACGCTGTAATCGGGACCCCTTCGTTCCTGTCAATTATCCTGCCTTTTGCACGACGTTATTTAGCACGACTGCATCGGCATGGTAACTGCTAAGTCCTATTATCGCCATCCTGTCCCGCGAAAACCGTCGTTGCTTTCAACCCCGCGACTTTTGCGGCGCTGATCGTCCTGGCAGAAACGCGCCGAGATGATACCATTAATATATATAGTTGCACATTCTCGATATGTAAACTTGATCTAATCAGCATAACTAGCTCTTCACGACATTCCTAACGAGCATTCCTAGCTTCGTAAATTTCTCGCTCCCACCTCGTCCTATCTCTTTCTTTCTTTTTCTTTCGTTCCCTTTCATCCTTAACTTAACCCGAGAAAATCATTTGAAGGATCTCGAAAGGGCCTGGCCGATTGCACGATTTTTCTAGGAAAATCTACTTATGGATTGGATACTGAACCGTGTTTAATGTGCACTAAACACTCGAGTAATTCCGGATTGAATCGACTGATAATCGTCACGCCCGAATACACCGGTTCGTCGGGTTCGATCGGTGAGATAACCGGCGCGAGAAATTTTTAGGATCAATCACTGATTTATCGGAGGAAAATGTGAATAAAAATTGTAATAAATATTTCGCTGAATATTTCTTAAGCGATATTTTTTATCAATTTATCAGTAGGATCTTATATAAAGATTGCAAACGTACGTGTCGCAAAATACAGAATTTTTGTCGTTATCAGTGAAATCCCAACTGATCCCGTGGGGCTTTGTTAATCCTAGTAAGACTTCACGCCGTTTACTAAATCCTTGAAAATACTGCAAATAAGAATCTTGCTCATACGAGTGCCTAGGTATTTCATATCTCGAAACAGCTCTATGTTTCACGTTTCTTAATTGCCCTTACGATAAAGCTTTGCCTTATGCTTATGGGGAAATAGTACAATATACCGCCGCGCTTTTCGTCCTTTTGCGATACTGCTTGGATTACGCCTCGTTAATGGAAGAATATTGTGCACGTGAAAAGGAAGATTGAAGACGTTGTCCATGACAGGACGTAAGGGACCGGTGAAAGTCTTAAAATGCCGATGTGAAAGTCAGCAGGTTAATTAATGCTTTTTTTAATCCGGCTTTCATTTATTTTATTTGTTTATCGACGTAATCGTCGAGTGATAAACGACCACTCGGGGAAGTGCGTGCGTTGTCACCGGCGGTGGCGTCGTTTGCATTCGAAACGGTGAAAACTTTCGAAGCGTAAATGCAAACGTCCGGGAAAAGACTCGAAATGTCATTGCGTAACATCACGGTTCGCGCCAACGGCGAATTTTTATCTGTCGCCGGTGTTGCGTGAAATCCAAATATCGCTGCACCTGTAACACCTGATAACGCTTTTAACCTGATCTGCTCGTGAAAAAGGTCCCGGGTCATTCCTGATTTTCTGCGTTTACTTTCACCACTACGTTCGTTCGTTTCCAGATTCGACACGGTTGCAGAAACAGTGATAACTTATTATTAATGCTCGAACGATAGTTAAATATTAATAATTGGCAAATCGTTACATAGTTGCAGCTATTACGGATAATGTTCAGTCTCGTTACTATGCAGATTAAAAGTAATCTTGAGGTGATGCTGAACAGACCAGCGAACTCCAACGAAAGCGTTTATATATATATGCATAGATATATTTATATATTCACACATACACTCATACATAAATTCTATAAACAAATTTTTGTATCGACTTTTTATATCACATTAGGTAATTAGCCTAATTTTAAGAACTCAACCTTGTTTTTTTATGTAATTTTCTAGTCTAGCAATGTCAGTAGCTGCAAAATTTTTATATAAACAGATATTGATGCGATTTGACGCCATATTAAAGTATCAAATGATAAAAAAATTTTAATTATAAAAAGTCTTCTTGTTTTTGATACAAAATTTATATGCTTATAGACAGGTATTAACGCATAAACTTTAATTGTAAAAAAGAATTTTCAAATCTATAAAATTAATACAAAATTAAACCGGTACAAAAATTATGGTGTTCTGCTGGTAACGCAGACGAGCACACCTCAATCTCAAACGTGAAAAAAATTAAGGTACAATTAATTAAGCATAAAATAACGGGGAGGAATTAAGCGCCGGGTTTGAACGACGGGAGAATTTTCGCTGTTGACGTTACACGCATGTCCTCCGCGATAACAAGTCCGGGGATGGAGAAGCTCCCGGTCGGGTCGACGTTAATGCATCATTGGACTGCGGAGAGAACACGCGAGTGGTGGTTGATTAGAAAATCGCTCTGGCTATGCGCGTTCGCACCATCGCACCTTCCACACACTGGATCGCTGGCAGGCGTCCTCATTAATGAGACCCTCGCGCTTATCGGCGCGTTGAAGCGTCTAAAGAGCTCGCGTTTAGACCCCCCGAAGCCTGACGCGAAATTATCGCGATTACCCGTGGATTCATATACATGACTGGCACCGTCGACTGGCTGATGAAAGGCCTTCGCGATTTTAATTGACTGATGGACGAGGTGTTGTGATTAGCACGCGCTATCTATCGAGTCGGAGATAACTAGACTAGTTTTTATGATACCGAACTTTAAATTTCCACTGCTCATTATAGCCGAGATCATGATATGGCGTTTTAAGATCTTTCAAGATTACGTTCCGCTGTAAAGCGATCGTCATGAAGATAGAGGGAAAAGAGTGTTTCAAGGTTCAGCTTGTTCTTGTCGTTTTGGATAAATATCTGTCGCACTTTCCTACGAGTATTCTAAATTATTATTTCTATCTATCTTCTCCATTCTCTCAGGGAAATTAGTAAGGCAGTTTCGTAAATGAACAGAATATTTACCGCGCCTGAGAGGTTTTTTTTGCGCTTCTACAATCGAATACTCGGCGGAATAACGAGAAGAGAAGGAAAAGAAAGAAGTGGCGAGTATAAATGGTATGGCTCTGTATTTCGTTGCCGTTAATGTCATCTCCGAGAAAGATTGTGATGCAGGACTCGACGTAGATTACCGTCGCAGGGTGCAGGTCGTAAGCTTCAGTACGGCGAGCCTTTGTCCTCCGGGAGCAAGAAGTAGATGGTCACGTCACCCCCGGGCGTCTTCACGATCTCGTGGTGTCGGATAAGCTGCGTCGCGGCCAGTCCGTACATCAGAGTGGGGATACCTGGTGTTTCGAACAAATGTAAGGGGGCAAGAAGTCAGAAGGGGGATTATCGAGTCCTCGCATTGCTGAACTCGTTCGCCATGGCTAATTCCAGATCGATAGAGCACTCATCGAGACAAGACATTGGCCGTGGAAGGACGACGTTGTTGTAGCCGTCGACGTAGTCGTCTCACGTTTCTTCTCGGTCGTCTCGGAAATTAAACCAAATAAGACCGCCTGGTAATACATGCGGTTTCTCTCTCGACGCCGTGTTCCGATCATTACTTTAGATACAAATTGAATTCAATTAATCAGCCGGCGAACTAGTTAGGAGTTTACGGGGTGCCTCAGAACTCCCGATCTTAGTTTTAGCGACGAAAAGATTCCTTGGCGAATTCGAAGCCGGCATTGTCGTTAGGAGAAATTGTGAAGTCTATAATAATATTTCGCTCTTGAAAAGTTTAATTCTCAAGTTTCGAAATGCTGAGAAAGTAAGAGTTTTGCCTAAACTTACGCGGAAATAATGATTTTTTTGAAAGTTTTGCCAGACATAAATCTGAAAATAATTTTGTTAAGTCATCATAATTATTATGTATTAAATATATATGATGATGATATTATAAAAAATTTTGATATTCTAGCAACTAATTTAAATATAATACTATAAATATTTTGATGACTCAACAAAATTATTTTCAAACCTATATCTGATTAAACTTTTAGATAGCAAAAGTGCCCTTCCCATGTAATTAAACTAAATTCTCAGGAGCTCTCTTTCTCTGTTTTCTTTGGTTTTAATTAACAATTACTCGCTTTTAAGGTAATAGCGATTCCAGAGCGTTCCGAGAACCTCGTTAAAATTAATATCGAGATGCCGTGACATCTCGTCTTTGCGATAATTATAGGATTTACGAGCACGTCGGTTTATCACGCCGGCGACCGAACGGCGTAAACGAACAAGGCCGATGTTTCCGAATGCGGACTTCTTTTCTTCCCCGATCCGGGCGTCCGACGCTGTCCGCTACCAACCTACCAAGATTCAATATCTTGATCGCCTTGAAGAATCTGTCCTCGCCGCTGAGATCCTGCACCGGCCGCTTGCTACAGTGATACTTGATGTACGGGAAACAGCCGGTCCTAAGTACGTGGTAATTGCTGCCGCCCGCCGGCCAATTGAAGTGTGACATTCCCCGCTGATCGTTCACCACGTCGGCATACCGGACGAAGTACGAGGTCCAGGGGGGCTCGTCGGTTTGCAATAGGTAGCTCGTTAGGACCTGCGTCGCAAATGCCGCAATCACGCCGACGGAACGGTGGTACTTTGTACACGCTGACTGATCGAGGAAATATCCTCGGGGATCATCGCGAGCACGCGGGACAAAGTCGCGACCCGTTACATCCCGTTACGACGTCTCTTTCCTCGGCGCATCGACTCGTTAAGTGGCCGGCTCTTCCGGCTTTGCGTGTGTATAAAAGAAATTAACCGGCCGGCACTGAATGTATCAGCCGGATGGATTTTAAGAGTCTGAGCACATGTTACTCAGAAACGGCCAAGCCGGTCGCTAATGTCGTTTCTCAACACGCCGATCATATTACTTGTATATTTGCCGTTTCACGTTACCGCGGCGCAGGATTAAATTGCACCGGCAGGAGAGTAACTTTGCACCACCAGTAGAGTAAGATTCAAGAATTATTCAATGTTTAAAAAAAAAAAATTATTTCTAAGTAACGGATACATCGTGTGAAAATTTCGAGTGTTGTCGAAATTGTGTGTGTGTATATTTTTAATATAAAATAGTTTCTATCGCGATGCAGACTAAAACAATTTTCAAGAAAAATAACAAGAATAATAAAAAAAATAACAGCAAAATTTACATCTACATATAAATGAATTGAGTACATCAGTTTGATTGACGATGGGTGAATACAACTTGAAATCGTAAAGCTTAGCGATCTCTTTCACATTTAGAGAAATAAAAATGTCGAGTCGTTTCTTCGGAATCTTATACCGCAATACCTGATCCAAGTCCGAACGTTCGGAATTTATAATTTGCACAATCGCACGGAATATGCAATTCGCTCGAAACGATGGATTCCTGGAGTCCGTTCGACTGGGAAGATTCACGGGTTTATCACGGTCGTGCGATCACGCAGTGCCGCGGGAATGGAAACACGCGAAGTGTAACACGAGTTTGTATTGTTGCGTAAGAAAGTGTCTGGGGAAAGTACGCACGGTCCCCTGAGAAAGATCTGATTCGAACCGATAAAAAACACAACGCGTGAGATAATCAGGGGAGCGGTCGGATTAATTAATGAGAAACCGAGAGGCATACTAACCTCTGACGCCAACGGTTTCTTCTTCTTCTTCTGCAGTATTTTCATCCAGAAATTAGCATATTTCCTGGTGAACAGCGACCCTCGTTCAATCTTCGCTTTGACGATTATCCGTGATTGCATTTTGCTGAATTCTGTAATTAAATCCTCCGTTGAGCTTAAAGTCTATAAATTGTCATTTTTAAAACATGACTCCTTTCAATTGCATATCCTTATACTAACGTGAGTGCCCGTTTTCTCCCGATAACAAAAATCCAATCCGTCATTTCTCGCAACTTCTTCATCTTTCACATACGAATTTTCCGATATTTTCAAAATAAAATCAGCTGAAGACCATAAGAATTTATTATTTATTCAGTTTAATTTCACTTGTAATAACCTAGTAATAATTGTAAGTTTATGCCTCTCTCTCATGGAAAAATATCTCGCAAAAATTGTTGCTTCCAGACTTTTGATCTTATTTTTAATTGTTATAATTCTCCCAATGTCAATGCTTTTAGTAAAAATATTTCAAGGGAAAATATAAAATAAAATATAACTTAAATTAAAATATGAAAGTAAAACGAAAGCGTGTGTCTACCAGGTATAATTATAGAGCTTATTATAAAACGCTTCGTCATCAAATTTGTAATTTCCTTCTTTTGAAAATAATTAAATTATAAAGAACTTGGAGAGAATATGAGAAAATCCCTTGAAATATTTTTACTAAAAGCATTGACATTGGGAGAATTATAACAATTAAAAATAAGGGGTCAGAAAAGTCTGGAAGCAACAATTTTTGCGAGATATTTTTCCATGAGAGAGGCGTAAACGATTACTAGGTTATTACAAGTGAAATTGAGGTTATTACAAGTTAGACTGAATAAATTCTTATAGTCTTCAGCTGATTTTATTTGAAAATATCGGAAAACTCGAACGTGAAAGATGAAGAAGTTGCGAGAAACGACGGATTGGATTTTTGTTATCGGGAGAAACGGGCACTCACGTTAGTGAGTAAGGATATGCAATTGAGAGGAGTCATGTTTCTGGTCGAGTCTACACATAAATAGATGATGATAGGAGCGATCGTGTCGTATTCAATAGTATCGCTTATCGACCCGCAGGGTAGGAATTCGTCACGGTACGTGTCGTTCTGCCTTTCTAAAATAAACGCGAGGCAAGAGAGTCGCTCAAAATGTCAAGGTTAACGAGGTTCAGTACGATCGCACGATGGAAGAGATCGTGTCCCGTGGTGTAACGTTAGCGCGTTTCTGTCTTTTACGCGTGTCCGCGTCAGAACGAAATGAGTAACAACGTAATTAATGACGCGCGCGCGTCAACTTTTGCACATTGTGCGTGAATTCGCTGCTATGTGATTTCTGATTGCTTCATCGAATAGAAGTTCCAGGGATACTTTCAGCGATGGATGTCGTAATTGTGCGAAATTGAATTACCAAAATGAAATACCAGTTGGTGCTGGACCGGTCAAAGCCTATGTCATTTCCAAGCGTTCGCTTTGCTTCTAATTTTCAACAACAACGCATTGTTTACGCATTGATGTTCATGTTACAGCCAACGCAGAGTTTATTCGAGGCACTCGCGTACTGGTTTTTATAAGCAACGAGAGAGGAAAGTGGAATACAATTGATAGTAATCAGACAATCGGAAATCGTGTAGATCGAATCTCGTTCGTATTTCATGTTGCGAATTACGATGACGCGCGATAGCCTTCTGTTCTAATTTTTCTACATCGTTATAACAGCATTCGAAGAATCGCGTTGCTAATTTAAATCGACTCCGTGTAGGCGCGCGCATAATACATTTAATCGATAGTTCCGTTGTAGATTCCACTCGGATAAGAAGTAATATGCATTTCCAATTAGTTAGTATCTTATCTTCCTCGATATAATAATTCTGTCTACGCAACTGGCATTAACAAATATTTGCGTTTGGCAATCGGTTACGAGTGTCCCGCTGAAATTTCCGAGTACGCTTGAAATCTGCGATATCTATACCTCCGATGTTCACTCTTTTACGCGTGCGCGAGGCTTTCGTGCTGGCGAACAGATGGCTGCAGTCATTGGACCAGTCGAGGCTACCTGCTTGAGGACTCCAAGCTGTACTTTACGTACGGCACAAACGTCACATCACAAATACCGATACTCGATTTTACGCGTGCGTGTTGCCGCGGCAGATGCGGCGTATATAATTATTTTCTCTCACGATTTTTCATGAAAACGAAGACGAAGATAAAGTATTACGCAGCATGTGCAGAGTGTGTTGCATAATCGGCGTGACACGGAACTCACGAGCGCCGTCGTCGCTCGATTCCACGTGGCGGTCTCTTTGAAAGGTTTTCTCGGTGTTCAATCTATCTCGGATCTTTTTGTTTACGATACGAAAGAGTGAAAATCAAAAGTGAAAGTGCTACGAAGACAACGTTTGATACGTTTATTTGAAACATCATATAACATTCTTATACTTTTGCTATTTTACCTCTGCTGTTGTTTTTTCTAAATAAATTAGAATAAAATATTATGATGTCACGACTGAAGAAATGTTTTGTCTTTTGAAATACTCCGCGCGTTGTAAAATGGAGACGGAAATTAATTGTGATCCTAGTTCGGTTTACCGCATCGAAAAGACCCTTGACATTTTAATTACACCGTATAAACTGTATTGAGGAGATTAAAACGCAAGTCAAAGTTACGATGACCCATGTTAATTTGTTACCGCGCGTTTTATGTACCATTGTGTTACGCCATCCCATAATTTCCGTGCGACAGGCGTGGCGGTCCTCGCTAAAGCGTTCCCTGCAATGGACCGTCCGATAATAGACCATTAAGAAACGCGAATGAGAAGTCCCTTCTAAGCACATCCAAGTGGCAAATATATCGTCGCAGCGTCGTGGCACGGGGTCAGACTGTCAAGCAGCAGCCTTGACGGGCTATCATTCTCGACGAACTTGCGGTACATCTTGTTCTTTCATCCACGCCGGGTCTTTTTCTCATTCGTCACATCGGCTTGTTTACATCGGCTACGGAGGCGCGACGGGAAATGTCTTTTCCTCTAAGGGTTGCAAAGCGCTTTTGATATGACATTTCGATAAACGTGATCGTAAATCATAAATATAATAATGGAAGAAAATTCAATGGACACACACTCTCTCTCTCTCTCTCTCTCTCTCTCTCTCCCTTTCTCTCTCTCTCTCTCTCTCTCTAGAAGAATAATGTCTTCGATATTCTTTATGATGATGGCAATATCCAAGAAAATAAACTTTAATTCTAATATTTCCTACTAACCGTTTTGTACTCCTGTACTTACTTGGGAACTTATTTTTGTAATTTATGTCATGTTCACGCGGAGAGAACAGTTTTTCTGGCAAATATACAAATTTGAAACTAATTTCGTTGGACAATCAAAATTATTATTATATAAGGCTTAAATATGATAATAACTGTAACAATTTTTAATCTTCTGACAATCAATTTGAATGTCATACATAATAATTTTGAAGACTCATCAAAATGATTTTTAAAATGATTTCTGTGTTCGGCCAAATGATTTGCCAGCAAAAGTGTTCTTTCCATGTAGAAATCGATTTTAATATTTCGTATAATAATTTCACCATTTACCCAGCTGGAGGTCCTTTTCTCATAATAAGAGCGCTCTACGATGTTGTTTTTCATCACCGACGGATATCGATTCGGAGCCTGACCTAGTTACTGCAGTTGCACATATGTGTCTGAAGGTCGAAGCGTGCCTGGCCGACAATGCCGGTGTTGCACTTCCGCCGACGTGATTTATCGTGTTCTATCATCCGCCGATTTTGCGCGTGACACGTTTAGCCAGCCAATTTGGAATAACGCATTCGTGTCGCACGATCCAATTAGCGGCGGCGTTTCGAGGCTATCGAAACTAGCTAGACACTAACAGATGATAAATCTCGTTCATTTAGTTGTTGCTCGGAGCGACAGAATGGCTGCGCGACGGCTGGAGAACGGACGCTTCACATAATAATCGTCGCAATCTTTCCCTCGGCGCATTATGCACCCGTTATGATTCGGTCGGTATTGTGAATCGTTATCTTTGATGTGCCTCTTTATGCACCGTGCCTTTGTGGGATGTGCCACGCCTATCACTTTCATCAGGTGTTTTTTTATTTAGAATACTCCCGCGAAACTATGCCAAGGGAATAATTCTTCATTCGGAAACCGTATCACACATTTCTGCCGGCCATATCACGCGTTACCGTTCCCCATTTTGTGCGACGTCGCGAAATGATTTTATTCGCCTTTGATTCACTTTTGAGGCACGAGGCAGGCCGCTTCCACATAGCGCGCTGTAAATGTTTAAGAATTCAAAGGGCGGTAACGTTTACGGCTCTCTTTCGCATGGAAATTTCAAGTACTCATAATTCCGATCGGAACGATTATTGTTACCGTTAACATCGATGATAGAGCTAGCTTCAAACCGCGTCGCGAACGATAGCGCCCATCGAGACGTCGTCGCGTTACGTTTCGAATCGGATATCATCCCGGTGGGATGATAACGCGAGTACACGCGTGAGAATCCGGACTGTTCGCGAAGTGTTCTTATCATTCTGTCCTCTCGAGATTCCCGTCCACAAGCGAGATCACTCCGAGCGCGCGCCTCCGGTTGCCACGCCTAGCATCGTTTTCGCATACCGTCGTGACTTATACAGCGCTCTATAAATTACGATTGTATTTCATTAACATCCACGTGTTTATTATAGCCACGCTACACGCGGCAATTAACGGACGGGGGAGTGCTCGAGAGTTGTCTTCGTCTGTGTCGAGCAAGGAAATACAGTCGTTGTTACTTTTTAATAAAGTAAAAAAAAAAAATAATATATATATATATATATCATATCTTTATATCGATGAAGATTCAATAATAGCCCGCTCGTAATTCAACTTAGAGACTTTATTATTCGAGTTGGATAAATATTCAGGGGCAGATATATCAATAAATGAGTAGTAATATCTGCGATGACACAACGCGCAGTGGAAATGGACGACTCCCGGGGCGGACGTCTCGCGCGAGGACGCCGTCGCCATCAAATTGGATTACGTCGCCGACGCCAATCCGACGCGAGCGAGAGAAGACGCGGAGGAAACGCGCGTCTGCCGGCGGGCAGCTGCGATTACATCGCGCTTAATCGACTAGAACGTCATAAAGGCAGCGACTTTCCTCCACCGAGATTCATTATCAGGCGACGCGTTCAGCGAAGACGGGCGGAATGTAATATATTCATGTTCGCGTACGTTTCAAAGGTGCAAGGACCCGACTAACTAACTCACGGGAATAAAGTCGCGTGGAGCGCATCAAGTTAATTTCAGGTTCGTTATTCCCATGGCGCGATCCGAAGAATTGCAATCAGCGCGCCTAAAAAAATGTAAAACTTCATATCGGTACCTTCGACACCGAGCTATTCGTCTTTCTCGGAGGGAAGCTGCCGCGATTAGAACACCCTGTATAATTACGCGTTTGGCACCTTTGACTGCTGTTCAATCAGCATATTCGCGACGAGGTGACGAGGAAGCACGAGCGAAATCTCTTCTACCGCAATAACCGTACGTCAAGCCTGTAACTTTTTATCCCGTCGCACGTCGGCGATCGACGATATCCAAACTCTCCGCAGCGTATCTCAAATGAATGATCTCCCGAGCACGATGATACCCTAAGGTAATACGATTTCTCTCCGTCGAATACGACTTCCTCCTCGAAACGTCGAACCACCGGTACGACACATTCGTATTCCTCCGCACGCGTGCCTTACGCACGCGACTCGCACCTACGTGTGCCGCCCGCACACGCGTGGACACGCAGGCACGAGATACGCACGCGGGATGCACGATGGGACACGCACGGACGGCGACGGCTATTTCGCGACGCGAGTCCTACGATTTCCGCAAGATAAATGACGTAACGGCCATTCACGCCGCGTCCTGTCGCGTCCGCGTCCGCGTCCGCGTCCGCGTCGTGTCTCGTCTCATCTCGGCGACGATGCCCGCTCCTTCATTATGCACGACGCGCGCGTTCGCCGCGTGCGCGCACGTGTAATCACGCGGATTTTTCCGCACATCTCCGCGGATGAACGCATACGACGGCCTAACGGGATCCGGGATCCATTGGGCGTCGACGCGTAAATACCATAGGATATCTGATCTGTTCCTTTACATGCCGTTTATCTACGCGAATAAATTAAGCGGACAGTATTTCTTCATACCAATCCGTAAATGACATGGGAATTTTTGATGGATCGATAATTAAGAAATTGAAAAGTAGGAAGATGCAGAATAATACGATTGAATGTGTTTTCGCGATTATCAAAAGAATTTCGTCCATTTCGGGCTAATCGCGTATATTTATCAATTGTATACTATTTTGTGGATAATAATAATATAAATTTTTATTAAAAATTAAATTAGGCCCTGCGCACAATGGAGGAATTATTAGGAACAGGAAATTTTGGAAATGAAAATTCGGAATAAAGATGAGATGTAACGCACGATGGACACAAGTAAGTATAAAATATAGCTGTATCTTATGGTTCTGAATTTTCATTTAATATTTATTCCTGATAAAATTTAATATTTATTCTTAATATTTCCTTTATTGTGTCCAATTTTAGTTTTAAGTTCTCTGAAGAAGTACGAGGCAGTTATAATCTTTTAAAGATTTCGTCTTACTCGTTCGATAATTTATCATCAGAACTATCGAAGCTGAAAAATATGTCACTAATATCTCTAAAAGATATCCATATATCTTCAGGAAGATATTTGGCATATCTTAGATGCAACATGACATGATGTAGATATAGCAATCTACAGTACATTCATCATTTGTGTATTTTTCTCTCCAGGATGGAGATGTCCAAGGATCCAAGACATCATTATAAATATTGTCGATTCTGATTTTTTTGATCATTATTCTGAGTTTTTTCTGCCATGACATAACGTACGTACCAGAAACTGAGCTAAGTAAAATATGTTTAAAAAAATTACACCGAAAGATATGCAGTATTTGCTTGTTTCTCTGCCTGCGAGGAGGGCAGAGATTGGACGCAAGAATAAATTTTATGAGAAGGAGGGAGATGAATAAAGAAAGATGGATAAAAAAGAAGCTAGAAATATTTTAATTACATAATATTATAAAAGACCATCAGTTAATTAAAAACATTTTGCAAGCATAAATAGCAAAATTAATGTATCTTACATATCACATTGATGATAATAGTCATAACTATTAATCTGCAATTGTTTTAATTGTTGGCACTTATGCAGTTTTTATTTATTTTTTTATGCTCTACAATTTAACATACGATTCATCTCTGTTTCAGACACAATTGGCTCGAATCTATATATAAAATGGATAAAGTTCTTTGCGTTTTTGTGCACTTTAGCCGATTCTTAAACTTATATAAGGTATTTTAGAACAATACACAAGTTTGTAACAGAAGTAAGATAAATTTCTGTGAACTGAGTTTAAACTGAGATATTTCTCATGGGTCAGGACATTATTGTGTTTAAACTTTCTCCCAGAGTTTCTTTATTTTTATAGAAGAGAAGTTCCCTCGCTCTTAAACTCATTTATTATCATCTAACGACTATAAATTAGAATTTCGTTTCCTTGCGGTGATTTAACAGTTGCCCGATACGAAATTGAGAAAGCCGTATTACCATAATCTAAAACACGCCTTCCGGCTGCACGAAGTAATTTGTCGAGAGGTCGACCTCGCGATTCCGATCATTGTGACTGAATGCGATGCGGAAGGGTAACGCCGTTCTATCCTTTCCGAGGTGAATTTTTTCAGAAGCTGCAATTTACAGTAAATCTGCAGTTACATATCTTAATTCTTGCACAGACATCTCATTTGACGCATGCATCGCCAAGATAATCGAATCAGAATTCTTTTTTAAGCAATTTTTTTTTTTATCCAGAATCTAATTGAGGAGAAGAATTAAGGAGAATCCAAATTATAATTTTAACTTAATTACATATTTCTCACTGTTAAATTTATCACGTACTAGCGTCAAGTATCTTTTCCTAAATTTTAATTAATTAATTAATTACAAAACAACCGTAATCTGGTACGTGTAATCGCAGCGGAAATATTAAACGTTCACTTTTACTTTATTTTTTCTACAGTGCGATGCATGCAATGGTTCAAAAAAGTGAAAATCAAATTATTCGTCAAAATGAAATTCTTTCGAATCGTTACAATATCATATCCGAGAAAAACTTTTCTTCGGTTAAGTGGAGAGAACAATCGGCGAATAGAAACTACGCGTTTGCATAATGAAGTTTCTCGCCGAGGAAACTTAATGGCAATTCGCCGGTTCGCACATCCGCGGTCGCGTTTTTTTTTTTTTTTTTTTTTTTGTTTCAGTGCTTGCGGTGCCGATGCGGTTCGCGGTCGAAACAGGATCCAATAAGAGAACAGTAGGCAGATTTAGTTTCTGCCGCGGCCTCTCGCCCGATCTTTATTCTCGCCCGGTCTCTCCTTTTCGCGGCGGCAGCGGGAGCGAGCGTTCCCTTCGGCTATGTACCGTTCGTTCCTCAAGTGTTACCCCCTCGAAAAGAGCCGTGGCGAAGTCGTGAGCTCTTTCTCTCACGGTGCCTCGCCAACCGGCGCGGCGCGCCGTTGCTTTCCGGTCGACGAGCGGCGAAATTATCATTTTATCGATATCGAGAGTCCGTCGTCGTTATGCCGGGACTCGTCGGACCCGCTCGTGTCGGTTTCGTGCTTGCGCGTGGGAGAGTCCGCCGTGATATATTCGCGCCGTAAAGGGATAATCCGTCCGGTTATCACAGAAGCGTAAATAATCTTTGCACTTTTAAATAACAATTGGCATCCCTCCCGAGAGACAGGATCTTTGCGTCTGATCATTTTTCCTCTCGGTTGAATTTGAAATAAATTAATTTAATTTAAGGACGAATGTGGTTGAGTAATTTTGTAAACCAAGTCCCCTTCTTGGCTGTAAGGTTGAAGTGCAAATAAATTCTGTTCTATTCTATTCCTTTCGTTGAATTTGTATTTTTATTGCTTATACTTTTGCACTTTTATTTTGCAATTTTATTTTGTCATTTTAAAAAACGTCGAAGAACTCGGATTGAATATATCAATCTTGAAATATCAATATCATATGGAAAAGAGAATACGTACAAGTATCATACAGATTCCAGTGTATTCTGAAATGTAGCAACGGTCGATGATATGTTTATATGCTATTGATCCAATGTGATTACGTCTAGTGGTATATCGAATGTCGATAACAATTACATTGTTGTTTAGACAATACATCCTTTCGCAATGGCGAGACGAGTATTGATTTGCCTCCCTTCATTTGACAGGTGGATTTGGTTGAAAAATAGCTTTATTGCAAAATTGATTAAAATCATAATATGACGGTGAGTGCATATTGATATGATTTATTGAAGTAGAGTACTTTGTTAAAACAATTGCGGAAGAAAACACGCTTATTCGCAATAATTTAGCAATCTCCATTTAGCAATCCGGATAATACTATTGAAATATTCGTTATGCGATTTCCACCCGTTCGTTATAAATGCGGGCTCGTGTAATTAAATTACGATTCCTGACGGTATGCGTTTTTCGTTATTAACTCCAACCGCAGGAGCTTTTGTCATAGTAAATTGATGATATAGAATTGTGACGACCGGAATAATGAATTACATGTGTTCTGCAGACAATTATTACAGATGACGCTTGCACGCGCGGATCCGTCTTTTACGCACGAACTCGGCG